TTTTTTTTTTTTTTTTTTTTTTTTTTTTTTTTTTTTAAAGCTTTCCTTCGTGAGTCCAAGAAAAATGACCTCTCACGGGTCTCTTTTTTGGACACAGGAGGACCTTATTTTCTTGGTGAAGTTCATGAGAGTTTTTTCATGAGCAGGGCTTTTGTGGGCCAGTGTATATTCAGAGAGCATAGAATGGAGGTAATTCATTCATTCCTAAGGATCCTGTGAAGTAGGTGTAATTATCCTGATGTTTATGGGTGAGGAAACTCATTCAGAGAAGATACACCCCTTGCCCAAGGTCACACAATTAGCCACTGGACTTGACCCAGGTTTGCAGACAGCTCAGACAGGCTCCTTACATCACCCCACACAGCCCCCACTAAATAAAGGCCAACACCACAAAGCCACTCAAGTCACAGACCTCAGGGTCACCGGAGGAAGGAAGGGTCAATACAGGTCTTGCAAAAATGCAGAGTTGGGGGAAAAAAGCAGAAAAAAAAGAAACCTACTACATCTTGGCAAAAAGGATCTTTTAACCTCGGTCCTGGATTTGTGGCTTACGTCCAAGGCCACTTCGGCCCAAGAGACTGTAAACCCATTTTTCATACAGAGGATGTGGAACGGCCGGCCTATCCCAGACCAGGTAGAGAGCAGAAGCAGAGGTACCTACCGCCCTCAAACTCCGTCTGGCAGTTCCCCGAGGTCTCATTCAGGCTCTCTTCCTCGTTGATGATGATGTTCTCAATGTCCTTCATCGTTAAGTGGTCCCGGAAGGCGTGATAGAGGATGTGCTTCAGCTCTTCCAGAGTTATCCTCTGCATGTCGAACTGTGGAGATAAAGAGGAGTGAGAGGGGGACTTCCCTGGTGGCACAGTGGTTAAGAATCCACCTGCCAGTGCAGGGGACATGGGTTCGAGCCCTGGTCCGGGAAGATCCCACATGCCACGGAGCAACTAAGCCCGTGAGCCCCACAACTACTGAGCCTATGCTCTAGAGCCCGTGAGCCACAACTACTAAGCCCGCAACCCACAACTACTGAGCCAGTGTGCCACAACTACTGAAGCCCACACGCCTAGAGCCCGTGCTCCGCAACAAAAGAAGCCACCGCAATGAGAAGCCTGTGCACCGCAACAAAGAGTAGACCCCACTCGCTGCAACTAGAGAAAGCCTGCGCGCAGCAACAAAGACCCAAGGCAGCCAAAAATCAATCAATCAATTTACAAAAAAAAGAGAGGAGTGAGAGGGTCTGGGGCACTTGGGGGTGAGAATTTGGCTTGGGGCATGACCAGCAAGTCCTAAGTCTTCCTACAGAGATTTGTCCCAGCTTTTCAAGACATCAGATGAGCAGTTTTCTGCCACGCTCAGCTCCAAGCACACTTGTGAACTTGCAGGAACTTCTTGGGAATTCAAGGAATGCCATTCCCCCCTCAGTAGAGAATCTTGGAGAAAAAGATGCCACCTGCTAGTTTGGTTTCCTACTCATCCAGCCATCTGCTGTCACCCCTCCACACCTCATGTACTTTGGAGTGTGTCACACTTCAGACAATGCATATGTCTCTAGAAAGTTTTAAATCTTCCAAGAAGCCAGCATGTGTCTTGCTCTAACAAGATAAAATGCACGTTCCAAGCCATGTTTATGAGGAAGAACAGCTGAAAATAAGGTGTAGCGTTTCCACTTGTGTTCTTCCGCTACCAGGGAGAAGATTTGCTTTTCCGCTCCATGTCTATCAGATTTGGTCACGTCACTTTCTTGGCCAATGAAATGTGAGTAGAACTGACACAGGTCACATCGATTAACATCTTTCAGAGCCACTGCGTGGTTCTAGCCTGTGTCCTTTTCCTTCTGTCCTACAAAGAGGCTGTTCCTTCTGTTGGGGTCCCAGAATGAGGAGAAAGTGGAGAAGATAGCCCAGAAAGGAAAAGTAATGTGAGTAACAAATGCCCTTCGTTGTAGCCATGGAGATTTGGTATAACTTGGTTTACATCAACAATACAGAAATTAGTACATAGAAATGAAAAGCTACCATAACAAAAATTCTAAAAGATGATGTATGGATTGCAGGGTCAGGAAAATAAGAAAATTGTTATTGGAGGCTGGAAAGATAACAATGCGTGTTATGCAGTAGCAAACATTTGGTAAAGTTGTTGCCTGTGATGACTCAGGGCAGATACACACTGAATGGGTAAAAAGTTTGGGACAGGGCTTCCCTGGTGGTGCAGTGGTTGAGAGTCCGCCTGCTGATGCAGGGGACGCGGGTTCGTGCCCCGGTCTGGGAGGATCCCGCACGCCGCGGAGTGGCTGGGCCCGTGGGCCATGGCCGCTGAGCCTGCGCGTCCGGAGCCTGTGCTCTGCAACGGGACAGGCCGCAGCGGTGACAGGCCCACGTACCACACACACAAAAAATAATAAATAAGTTTGGGACACAGCAGGCTCTGGTTGCAATTGGTTGCTCATCTACAAGAAAGAGATGAGCTCAGAGTGAACTAAATCAGACAGAGAAAGACAAATACTGTATGATCTCACTTACATGTGTAATCCACAAACCAACGAACCAACCCGTATTCACGGATCCAGAGAACAGGTGGGTAGTTTTCAGAGGCAGGGGCGTGGGGAGTGGGTGAAATGGGTGAAGGGGGTCAAAAGGCACAAACTTCCAGTTATAAAATAAGTCCTGCAGATGTAATATCCAGCATGGTGACTCTGGTTAATAACATTGTATTGTGTATTTGAAAGTTGCTATGAGAATAGATCTTAAAAGTTCTCCTCACACACAAAAAATGTGTAACTATGTGTGGTGATGGATGTTAACTAGACCTCTTGTGGTGAGCATTTCACAGTATACACAAATTTCAAATCTTTATCTTATACATAGGAAACTGATATAATGTTATATGTTAATTATACTCAATTTGAAAAAAAGGTGATGAACTCAGGAAAGAATTGATTGTTTTGCAAGCCAGAATAGAGACAACCCCAAAATTTCTGGTCTTGCAGCATTGAAAGAAGCAATTGTTTCTCATCTCCTACTAGGAAGAGATAAAATTGAGAAATGCTATAAATAACAATCCAAACCTATTAAAACAAATCAAAATGTCCCTTCTTAAAATCTCTGAATATGTTAGGCGGCTCTCCCAGAAAGCTGGTCATTAAGTTTAGAGAGAGGTATGTCTCAAAAATAATTGTGGATATTAGCAGAAACCAACTGGAGTTAAATAGATTTTTAAAAATGACTAACTTTTTGAGAGAGCCAAGAGCAAACAGCCTGGGACTAAAAGACTATGACTGTTCAAAACTTAAAATCATCTTTGGGCTCTCAACCTTCTATGGGCACAAGCCACTTTGAGGATAAGTTACAGAGGCCCCAAGAAGGGTATATTTTCCAATACCCCTGATAGGGATAGAGTAGGATAATTAAATAGTCAGTTTAGAAATCTCACCAGGGGATTAAGACAGAAAAGGAATTTTAAGGGAGTTTGGGAGACTGTTGTAAGCGAATAACCACTCAAGAAAAGAATCCAGTAACCTAGCAACAAGCTACTCTACCTTGAAAGACCAGGAGCATCCAAGTGCCAGACACACTCAAGCCACAAACCCTGATATTTAAAACACAAGACAATAGATACGGGATGTGAATCCTGTTACATGAACTCAGAGAGTTAAGAGTCCTTGAAGAGTAGCATTTCTGCATGTGGCCAGGACAGAAATATAGGTGAAAGGGGAAAGAAACTAGGTGAAAGGGGACATTATACCAAAACCTGAGATAAATTACCATATTTTAGTAATATATATATGATCTAAATAGCACCATGACATCTGCCCAAGAATGAGGAAGAGGTGGTCTTCTCTCCTCCCCACTTTTTATTTGATTATAAAAATGTAGCCCTCTTTGTTCTCAGGGCTGTGTTCCCTTGCCAGCCCACTTGTATCTCCCACAAGCGTCCTATGCTAATAAACTCACTCTTGGCCTGCCGCTTTGCCTCACACCGAGTTCTTTCTGTGATGAGGCAAAAGAACCTGAGCTCCAGTAAGTCCTGACACCAGGTGAGTGGTTTTAATCAAAAGACAGCCAACATCAAAAAATCTACAAACAATAAATGCTGGAGAGGGTGTGGAGAAAAGGGAACCCTCTTGCACTGTTGGTGGGAATGTAAATTGATACAGTCACTATGGAGAACAGTATGGAGGTTCCTTAAAAAACTAAAAATAGAACTACCATACGACCCAGCAATCCCACTACTGGGCATATACCCTGAGAAAACCATAATTCAAAAAGAGTCATGTACCCCAATGTTCATTGCAGCTCTATTTACAATAGCCAGGACATGGAAGCAACTTAAGTGTCCATTGGCAGATGAATGGATAAAGAAGATGTGGCACATGTATACAATGGAATATTACCCAGCCATAAAAAGAAACGAAATTGAGTTATTTGTAGTGAGGTGGATGGACCTACAGTCTGTCATACAGAGTGAAGTAAGTCAGAAAGAGAAAAGCAAATACTGTATGCTAACACATGTATATGATCTAAAAAAAAAAAAAAGGTCATGAAGAACCTAGGGGCAAGATGGGAATAAAGACGCAGACCTACTAGAGAATACACTTAAGGACACGGGGTGGGGAAGGGTAAGCTGGGACAAAGTGAGAGAGTGGTAGTGTATACATGGAAATATATACACTACCAAATGTAAAATAGATGGTTAGTGGGAAGCAGCCGCATAGCACAGGGAGATCAGCTCGGTGCTTTGTGACCACCTAGAGGGGTGGGATAGGGAGGGTGGGAGGGAGGGAGATGCAAGAGGGAAGAGATATGGGAACATATGTATATCTGATTCACTTTGTTATAAAGCAGAAACTAACACACCAATGTAAAGCAATTATACTCCAATAAAGATGTAAAAAAAATTAATTAATTAAATAAATTTTAAAAAGAAAAAAAAAAGAGAGAAGGAAAAATGGAGATTCCAGAAATCTATAGTTTTCCTTTTATTTGGTTCTCTGGGTCATGTTTTAATGTGAGGGTATTAATACTTAAGCAAAATCAGTTGAGTAGAATTCCATGTTTTCTGCATTGTCAGAATAGAGCTGTCTTTTACAAGTTTGAAAGAAATCACTATAAAACAATATGGGCACAATGCCAACAAGTATTTCTTCCATGGTGATCAATCCATTGAGCTTGTAAATTTTTCTTGAGTCAATTTTGATTTTTTTTTTTTTTTTGCGGTACGCGGGCCTCTCACTGCTGTGGCCTCTCCTGTTGCGGAGCACAGGCTCTGGGCACGCAGGCTCAGCGGCCACAGCTCACGGGCCTAGCCGCTCCGCGGCATGCGGGATCTTCCCGGACGGGGGCACGAACCCATATCCCCTGCATCAGCAGGTGGACTCTCAACCGCTGCGCCACTAGGGAAACCCTGAGTCAATTTTGAAATCACGTCCTTTTTCAGAAAACCAGCCAAAAGATTTTCATCACTGTTAGCATGTAACTATGCACAACAGTTCCACAATTTTAAATTTCTCTCAATGCTTCTTCTATCCCATTTGGTATTTTTAACCCTATTTGTTTTTCTTTCCTCCAGGTTTGATTTTTGTTGTTTTATTCTGTTTTTAGTGAATCTTGGTTAAAGATCCACTTTAGCCTGTACAGCTGCTATTTTTAGGAACCTAAGGAGTCTTCCCTTATGGTAAAATCTCTGTAGAGTCAATTACACAAATACAGTTATCCTTATTAATTATATTATGTAGTCTTATAATTATCATCTGTATCTCGTATAACCTTAGTTTCTGGGGATGACTTGATGTGTCAAAGACCATGAGTAACACACTGCAGTC